TATTATTATTATTATTTATTATTCCGCCGTTTTTTGTTCCAGAGATAGCAGTTTAACCACTGGCTCGATTTTCTTCAAATTTTGTGTGTGTGTGCAAGTTGTTAGGTACCAGATACCACAAAAATTCCAAGGCCGTAGGCCCAATGGCCAAGGGCAGATAACTGAAAAACAAGTATTTTTTGAAGATATATTTCGCCTTATTGCTCCGCAACCGCTTGTCCGATTACTTTCAAACTTTACACATGTCTGCTGTTTAGGGTGCTTAACATTTTCTGTTCTTTGAACTTGGCCACTGGTCACGTGGTTTGGCAGCCATATTGGATTCAAAGTTTTGACGGGGTTTTGGGGGTACCTGTCTTCAAATCCTATCTCCTCTGAATCCAATGCATGAAATGCATCCAAACTTTCTGAGTACTGTCTCCATACATATCACATCAAACTCTGTTGGCCGATTTTGGATATCTTTTTTAGTTGCTGCCATATTGGATTCAAGGTTTTCACGGGTTTTTTTGGGTACCTGTCTTCAAATACTATCTCCTCTGAATCCACTGCATGAAATGCTTTCAAACTTTCTGAGAATTGTCTCCACACATAACACACCAAACTCTGTTAGCCGTTTTTGGATATCTGTCTTAGTGACGGCTCTGTTTGATTTTGATTTTGATGATTTCTTTCACCGAATTGTTCCTTTAAATAAAGATCACATCTTGTAAGGTTCTCCACAGAAACTATTGAAAGTTTACATGAAGTTAGTGTGCCATATGTACCTCATCTTTTGTTCTTGGTTGCATGCTAAAAGTAACACCGCCTGGTGGTAATATGGACAAAATACCGAATACATCGCTCAGAAAACCTAGGGTTATTTCCCTTTGACCGTCAAGTGTCTTTTGCAGTATGTATGCTGCCCTTGAAGATGAGGGTTAGAATTGGTCTTCAGCAACTCATGCTTGTCTCAAGAGGCGATTATCGGGATTCGAACATTGTCTGGGTGGTAAATGGGTTAAGAACACTCTGGTTAACTCTGGCACACACCAATTTCGTAGTGGTGATGTCCTGCAAATGGTGACTATCTTTTGACGCAGTTGGTACAAGCAAACCCTTTGAGGATTCGAACATGAGGATTCGAGGTCAGAAATGGGCTAAGAACACACTGGGACATATGTGGGGATGTCTCACAAACGGTTCCTTGCGTTTGACGGCGTTGGTACAGGCAAACCTTATGCGGATTCGAACATGGTCGAAGTCAAACATGGGTTAAGAACACACTGGGACACATGTGGTGATGTCTGACATGCGGTTCATTACATTTGACGGCGATGGTACAGGCAAACCATTTGAGGATTCGAACATGGTCGAAGTCAAACATGGGTTAAGAACCCACTGGGACACACGTGGTGATGTCTGACAAGCGGTTCATTACATTTGACGGCGTTGGTACAGGCAAACCATTTGAGGATTCGAACATGGACGAGGTCGGAAACAGGTTTAGCACTTTATCTCAGCAATACCACATAAACCCGGGGCCCTGACGAACTCAGAACGCTCCTCCATTTGACTGGAGCTCAACTGACAAAGAAGTTACAGTCTGGTTCAGAGTCACCAAGCCGAAAAGCTGAAGAGTCCCAGTGCTATTGTTCGATTTAATATTATTATTATTCCGCCGATTTTTGTACCAGAGCTAGCATAGTAACCACTGCCTCGATTCCATTGAAATTTTGTATGTGTATCCAGATACTTACGTACCAGATACCACACAAATTCCAAGGCCGTAGGCCCAAAGACCAAGGGCAGATAACTGAAAAATAAGCAATTTTAAAAGCTATATTTTGCCCTATTGCTTCGCAACCGCTTGTCCAATTACTTTCAAACTTTAGATGTGTCTGCTGCTTTGGGTGCTTGACATTTGATGTTCTTTGACTTTGGTCAGTGGTCACGTGGTTTGGCAGCCATATTGGATTCAAGGTTTTCACAGGGTTTTTTGGTTACCTGTCTTCAAATCCTATCTCCTCTGAATCCACAGTCTGAATTGCATCCAAACTTTCTGAGAATTGTCTCCATACATTATACATTAAACTCTGTTAGCCGTTTTTGGATATCTGTCTTAGTAATCGCCCTATTGGATTTTGATTTTGATGATTTTTTTCACCGAAATTTTACTTGAAAGATCATATCTTGTAAGGTTCTCCACAGAAACTATTGAAAATTGACATGAAGTTAGTCTGACATGTATACCTCATCTTTTGTTCTTGGTTGCATGCTAAAAGTAACACCGCTTCGTGGTAATATTTGATCAATATTTGGGACACCCCTGGGACACCCCTGGAACACGCCAATTCGTAGCAGCGATGTTAGGTGACAATTTTTGAACGGAGTTGGTACAAGCAAACCCTTTGAGGATTCGAACATGTTCAAGGTCGGAAATGGGTTTAGAACAGACTTGGATGCCACTGCACATGTCAATTTCGTAGCGGCGATGCCCTGCAAGTGCTGCCTACATTTGACGGATTTGGCACAAGGAAACCCTTTGAGGATTCGAACATGGACGTTTGTGCGCAGTGTTACTTGGAGCCCGCCATTGCTGCTAGCAGCTTTAATTTCAATTTGTGATTGTTATCAAGTTTTGAGGTCGAAATATATATCCTTGAATTATTATGAATTCCCGACAAGACATAAGTACAATATTTTAATGTCATCCACCAACCGATTTTCTGTTAAGAAACTAGCCATGTATATTCTAAAAGCTATAAATCTAAGGCAAAGTCTGTTGGGACCTCCAACTCCCATCACCACACTGTAACCATTGTATCATGGGCCTATGGCCTACAAGACATCTGAATAAAGTGTATATAAAAACACTTTTAAAATATATATTTTCACCTGATTTATTAAATATGCACCACAAATCAAGAGAAAAAGGAAGAACAGAGAAACCGATAGTTACCTTAACAAATACCACGGCTCCCGGACGACTGACCGATGCTCTAAAACCGACGGCCCTGCGACACCGTTCACAAAGCAGGTGATTTATTTCTATGCTAGAACAACCGCCGCCGTGGTATAGCGGTAGAGCATCGGACAGTCGTCCGGCGTTCGATCCCCGGCCCCGTCATACCAAAAGTGTGAGTGAGTATGGTTTTACGCCGCGTTTAGCAATATTCCGGCAATATCACGGAGGGGGAGACCAGAAATGGGCTTCACACATTGTACCCATGTCGGGAATCGAACCAGGGTCTTCGGCATGACGAGCGAACGCTTTAACCACTAGGCTACCCGACCGCCCCTCATACCAAAAGACGTTATGAAGACGGCATAAAGGGGCTAAAACAAGGACTGGTCGGCTCGGAGTCAGTATACTGTGTCTGAGCGGGGTATTCATATTAAACTGCGGCATGGTATCTAAGTGAGCTAGCACTATAAATCGGCATCAGTCCAGACTAGTACAAGCAGCCACACACACACTCGGGCATGCACGTCGCTATATAAGTGCAATAATCTTGGACGTGACGTTAAACCCCATTTCACCTCACCTCACCTATATGCTAGAACACAAGCGCTGATGAGCCACACGGTATTCCGGTCATGCCAGAAAATGCGAACATCCTGACGCTTACAACCGTATAAGGATAATATCCAAGCTATGGCAAGCGTGGTATCACGATTTGTGTATATATAACTATAGGGTTTTTGTATAAGTAAATTTAGGTTTTTGTTTTACGCTGAATGCAAATACTTCCTTTCCAGATATTTCTTTTATTTGTGAAACGGACCATGGCAACGTGACGTCATGACAATACCTTGACACATTTGTTTGAAATTCACGTTATCAATTTGGTATGGCGTTAAAGAAGGTGCCACTGTTTTCTTTGAGCGAGTTTGATTTAGCGCGGATTAGAGCAGTACTAGCGTCAAATTACAGCGTGCCAGCTTGATGTGGGAAGAAGGCCTGAAGTGATGCAGGTCTTTGATGTTTACCACTTGGGGAAAGCCACGAGCACGGGTGTGGTTCTGACACACAAACCATTACAATCCGGCCCAACCGGGATTCGAACCCGCGATGACATGTCTCTGGCACGCCAACTGGACATTACTCTTGACACCGAATTGCGGCATATCAAGAGCCTGGCCAACCGATGCCCCTATTTTCTTAGGAAAATTAATATAAATAATATCAATAATAACCTACACGTATAATGGATTATCTGTTTGTCGTGAGGGAATGCTGAAGGCCCCGGATGTAACTCCGGGTGGTAATTTACAATAAATGATTGTTTAATGCTTTCACATTACGGTGGGAAGACTGAATGTAGTCACGTGTTCTTGTCTCATGCGTGGATGGAGCTGAACGCTGGTCCGAGTTCTATTTTCAGTTACATAAAGGCATCAGCTTAATGTCCAAGTTTGTTTGTTTCGGTTTGTTTCAACAATATTCCAGCTATATGACGGCGGTCTGTAAATAATCGAGTCTAAACCAGACAATCCAGTGATTGATAGCATGAGCATCGATCCACGCAAATGGGAAACGATGACATGCATCAACCAAGTCAGGGAGCCTGACCACCCGATCTGGTTTGTCGCCTCTTACAACATGCAAAGTCGCCTTTTACGGCAAGCATGGGTTGCTGAAGACCTAGTCTACCCCGGATCTTCACGGGTCGATGTAGGTATGGACTAACATGGGGATCGGTTGGACAATCGGTGTGTTGATCATACCTTAATCCACTGGTTTGACTAACCGACACGACACGAGTGTTTAAAGGCCTTGGCATTACAGCCGTTATATTGCGTAAAACATACATAATTTTAGAAAAGTGGAAAATGATCCATATCTTATCGTTGAGTTCGACCATCTTCTTGTGAAACATATAGAATATCAGACTCAACCATTGTCACATCACTCAACACTTCAGCTACGACGAAACAGTTAGCGTTAAATTTCTCGCATTTTCATGAGAGAAAAAAGACAAACCTGCTGTGTTTAATAATTTCAAAAAAACATTTCATTTGTCCAATGTTATTATCGTGTATGCGTTTTTATTTGTGCATATCTGGCTATATAGAAGTACAAAAACTGGACTTACGAACAATTCCTGATGTGAATGTGTAGGTGGTGGATTTAATTAATATACCAAAAGTGGTTAGTATTTAATTTGAATATAAGAACATGGTCACTCATCTCACACCACCCTCAGTATTCCTGCTTATCAACCCACAATATTAGAGATAGACGGGTTCAAGTTGACTAGTGAATGGACCCTGCGTCTCCAAAACTTGTCCAGCTGGTTTGTGTTATTGGCAAACGTCATACCTATGGAACTCGTGAAGGGTCAGAAAGTGACGGCGTCCTTTGTACTCATACATTTTGCCCCGTCTGTCCAACATGGTGGGAACATCTTCTACCTTGAAGAAGTCAGCCCTTCACAACCATTTCCTGGTGTACCCACAAAACTATCCTACACGATGGGGTCATCTACAGTCTTGTACAAGTACACCCTTCACAACCTCTTCCTGGTGTACCCACAAAACTATCCTACACGATGGGGTCGTCTAGTCTTATACAAGTACACCCTTCATAACTTCCTGGTGTACCCACAAAACTATCCTACACGATGGGGTCATCTAGTCTTGTACAAGTACACCCTTCATAGCCTCCTGGTGTACCCACAAAACTATCCTACACGATGGGGTCATCTACAGTCTTGTTCAAGTACACCCTTCACAACCTCCTGGTGTACCCATAAGCCTATCCTACACGATGGGGTCATCTAGTCATATACAAATACACCCTCCACATCTTGTCCTGGGGTACCCACAAAACTATCCTACACGATGTTGTCATCTACAGCCTTGTACAAGTACACACTTCACAACCTCCTGGTGTACCCACAAAACTATCCTACACGATGGGGTCATGTACAGCCTTGTACAAGTACACCCTTCACAACCTCCTGGTGTACCCTCAAAACTATCCTACACGATGGTGTCATCTACAGCCTTGTACAAGTACACCCTTCACAACCTCCTGGTGTACCCACAAAACTATCCTACACGATGGTGTCATCTACAGCCTTGTACAAGTACACCCTTCACAACCTCCTGGTGTACCCACAAAACTATCCTACACGATGGTGTCATCTACAGCCTTGTACAAGTACACCCTTCACAACCTCCTGGTGTACCCACAAAACTATCCTACACGATGGGGTCATGTACAGCCTTGTACAAGTACACCCTTCACAACCTCCTGGTGTACCCACAAAACTATCCTACACGATGGTGTCATCTACAGCCTTGTACAAGTACACCCTTCACAACCTCCTGGTGTACCCACAAAACTATCCTACACGATGGGGTCATCTAGTCATGTACAAATCCACCCTCCACACCTTGTCCTGGTATACCCATAAGCCTATCCTACACGGTGGGGTCATCTTCTGTCTTGTAGAAGTTCACCCTCCATACCATGTCCCCGGGGATGCTGTCCATCTGGAACCAGGGCAGCCAGCTGCTGAACCGAACCCACGTCCCATAGAAATAAGGGGACTCCTGCTCCAGCTCAGCATCTTCAACAAACATACTGACCATATTCATGGCCCAGTCCTCTGGTCGAGTGTCCGGGAACACCACACTGTGAGATTCGTGAAACAGCACCGTTTGCAGATCCATCCCTGGGAGGGGGTACGAGAACACTGAAGACATTGGTATTTCTGCTATCGCGCTGTAAAAGAAATTTTCAACTTTCTGAGTCTTGCCAACGATTGGGTTAACGAAGTAGTCCAGAACCTTTCCAGTAATAGGATCGTAATACAGGCCGCTGATCTCAACGTGGACCTTGTAAGAATCCACTCCAAGGCCTAAAACTTTCAGCTGAACATGTCCATCGAAGTTAAACAAATGCACAGATCCGTTTCCAGTGATCTCGGAGAACACGCTGCCGTTGAAGTAGACTCTGAAATGCCCACGTTGCAGGGCAGCTCGCACGATGTTGGAGTCCAGGGAGTTGGACTTTGACTCCAGGTTTGACTGTATGTTCACTTGCGGGATGATGATGTCGGGGTCCCCCCTCGCTCGACGTGCGTCAATCGCCTTCTTGAACACATCCCAACTCGTCACCATTTTGTTGGTGAATGTAGTAGGGGCATGCATGTACTGTGGGTAATTGTCTTCCACGTATTTCGCCAGGTCCGGGGCCACGTCGTCAAAGCCGTGGACAAGCTTCCAGAAGGCCTGATGATAGTACAACCACCCGGGAGTGTCCCCCATCTCCATCCAAGGCAAAAACTCTCCTCTTCTGAACCACGAACCCATCATTTTGATCGAGGATGCGTTTGTTGAGGCCAACTCGGTCAGGTTTGTGTAGTACTCAAATAGTTCATCCCCCTGGTAGATTGGCCCCGATGAAAATTTAGGATAATTCTTCGGGTCGAGGACATTTGGAAACTGGATGAAAATATCCTCATTGAAACTGACAAGTTCAGGAGGGATGAGGATGGTTTGTCTGGTACCGCCAAAGTTCTGTTCCGCATCAATGGGATCGTTAGCTACATTGAACACTTCATTGGCTGTCATCGTGAACGGATTCATCCAGACGCTCAGTATCTCAGCAGTGTCAAGGTCGCGGTACACAAACACCTCTCGGGACATTGAATTGAATCCCTTCTCCGTTCTTTTCTTTCTGGCGATGTTGAACCCTTCGAAATAGAAGATCTTCTGCATCGGTTTCCCCGGGAAGCGGACGTATACGGTCCCATTTCCATAACCAACCGTTTCCACATCCGAGTCCAGGGAGGCCGAGGCCCGGATGAGGCTTACAAGATTCGTCTTCTCGTCAAAGATGTCAAAGGTATGAGAGGTTGCGAGACATCCGGCACACAGCAAGGCGAATAGGAGTGACTGTTTGGTCACCATTGTGACTGAGAGACCTGCAAAAGAGAACGTAGAAAACTTCAGAAATACATTATACTCAAGTTCATAAAATATACTTATGGAAATCCTCTCTTTGGGCTGCACCTCTCCTGTTGGTATAGAAACCGTAACCCCAATTGGTTGCGATTCCATGAAGTAATCATCAAGTTATAGGTCGCATAAATGTTGAAGTAAAAGTGAGTGAGTGAGTTGGGTTTAACGCTGCGTTTAACTGTATTCCAGTTATATCGCGGCGTGTCAGCTTAATGTGGGAGGGAAGCCCGAAGTGATGCAGGTCTCAGACGTTTATCACTTCGGTGAAACCCACGAGCACGGGTTTGGTGCTGACAAACCTAGAAACATAATCGGGGGGAACCGGGATTCGAACCCAAAATCATAAGTTTCGGGTGTGCCCAAGGGACGCAACTCTGTACAGTGAATCGCGACGCCTTACACGATTTGGTTAAAATTAGAAAAATTTAAAAGTTCAAAACATTTAAAATTTTATATTTTCTCAGAAGGTCCTCGTATCAAAATCAAGCTTTCCACTTCATCTCTTCTGGGAATGTGGAAACAGTTCTCTAAATTGGGAAAGAATCCATGCTGTAGTTTTCAAGTTATAGGTCACACAAATGTGTAAGTAAACAAATTATAAGTAAAACAATGAATAACAGCTGTATCATCCATAAGTCCAAATATCGAAATCCAAACTTCGCACTGCACCTGTACAGGTGGTTTTGAAAGTGTTCAAATTTGAAAATAATTTATGTAGTAGTTTTCAAGATATTGGTCGCACAACAAAAATCCTCGGAAGGAAGGAAGGACGGAATTCCCTAGTATAACTATATACCCCAGCCATTTTACGTCGGGGGTATAATATACATTGCATGATATGTAGTCAATCGGAGCTGAAGAAGTGCGTTGTAAATCAGAGACTTCTCTGACGGTTCCGTTGTTCAATGCGAACAGCTGGTGACGATAAACGGATGAGTGTTTTCCATAACAAGCGCCAGCACTCCAAGAGCATGATTAGAAGGTTATGTTAAGCAGATCGGCAAGTTGAACTAAATAAACGCAAAAGATGCGCTTTTATTATTGTAATTGGCGGTGAGGTGGCCTGATCTATCGTTGAAATGAATGACGCCGGTCCAATGAAGACAATCTAGTTTGTTTGTTTGTTTGTTGTTTAACGCTGCACTCAGCAATAGTCCAGCTATATGACGGCGGTCTGTAAATAATCGAATGTGGACCAGACAATCCAGTGATTGAAAACATGAGCATCGATCCACGCAACTGGGATACGATGACATGCATCAACCAAGTCAGTGAGCCTGACCACCCGATTCCGTTAGTCTCCTCTTACAACAAGCATAGTCGCCTTTTACAGCAAGAATGGGTTGCTGAAGACATATATATTCTACCCCGGATCTTCACGGGTCGTAATTACGGGAAGAGGTAACCTGATCTGTCCGTGAAATAAATGACTCCTTTCCAATAAAGATTTTCAAGTGGCTACACTACATTCGCATGACATGCCATGGTTGTACGTCCGGATCTCCCAGCAAAACGGATACTTCATGGCTTGAAGTGACGCACTGGCGTTGGCTAGGGACATCAGCTAATTTTCACTTTTTATAAAAAACAGACTTGTTGGGGGGGACTGAATGTTGCATAACCACGATTCTAACCACGATCCCCAACTCGAAGAGTTTCTTGTCTCGCACATCATGGAGGAAATGGGTTTGATGTTCGACAAGCTCTACTTATGTCGAAGTACAATCATGCCAATGAAGTTTTATTGATATCATATTTAACAGCGGTTGTCAAATACGCTGTTGATGTCGTCTCGTGGAGTTGCTAGATTTTATTTTTTATATATTTTCTGCTGATTGATTCAACATACATCTTAAACTTGAAACAAAAGAGAAATCGAAGATTACCTTAACAATACCAAGGCACCCGTACGACTGTCCGATGCTCTGAGGCTGACGTTCCTCCGAATGACTGACACGTTCGCAAAGCAGCTGATTTATTTATATGCAAGAACACGATGGCTGATGAGCCAGACGGTATTCTGGTCATGCCAGAAAATGCGAACATCCTGACGCACACAACCGTACAAAGATAATATCCAAGCTATGGCAAGCGTGGTATCACGATTTTTGTATATATTAACTATAGGGACACAAACATCGTGGAACTATTTTGGATTAAAATACATTTTGCTTTATCTTTCACGCCGCATGCCTAGTTTAGCTTAGTTTCCAAATATGTCTTTTGTTTGTGAAGCGGCCCATAGAAACGTGACGTCGTGACATTACCTTTATGTATTTTTAAAGACTACCTCTCCCTGTGTGTATAACGTCACGTAAGATATGAGAACGAGTCTGATTTGGCGCAGATTGCACCGCATTTCGGTTATTTATATCACAGCGTGTCCGATTGATGTGGGAGGAAAGTACGAAGTGATGCGGGTCTTGGCGTTTACCACTTTAGGACCCACCAGCGCCAATGTGGTGCTGACACCAGAAAACATAATCGGGCCCAACCGTGATTCACAGAATTTTGGCATCGCCATGGGACACATCTCTGCCCATCACCGCACAGAACGCCCTTACAACCCTTGTCCCTGTTTCTTCGGAAAATGAGTGAGTATGGTTTCACGCCGCTTTTAGCAATATGCCAGCAATATCACGGCCGGGGACGCCATAAATGGGCTTCACAAATCGTACCCATGTCGGGAATCGAACTCGGGTCTTCGGCGTGACGAGCGAAGCTTTAACCACTTGGCTACCCGACCCCCACGTTAGGTGTATGAACATTATTAATATGTATAATACTGGTGGAACTCATTATGTGCTCTTCGTTGATTAATGTTGAAGTTCACAGACTTAAGTCCGGTATGGTTAATCAAACACAGTAACTACGATTATAACGAACTCAAAGGAACCACACATTTTAATCGTTATAACCGAAGTTCGTACAACATATATACATCAAAAGGACGGGACACCCGTGAAGATTCCGGGGTAGAATAGGTCTTCAGCAACCCATGCTTGCCGTAAAAGGCGACTATGTTTGTCGTAAAAGGCGACTAACGGGATCAGGTGGTCAGGCTCGCTGACTTGGTTGATGCAAGTCATCGATCCAAATTGCGTGGATCGATGCTCATGTTTTCAATCACTGGATTGTCTGGTCCACACTCGATTATTTACAGACCGCCGTCATAGAGCTGGTAGATTGCTGAGTGCGGCGTTAAACAACAAACTAACCAACCAACCAAAAGGACGGGACCAAGAAATAGTTCGTTATATCCGTCAGTTCGTTATAAACGCGTTCGTTATATCCGTAGTTTACTGTAAAGTTATTCTTAAATTCTTACATAACGTTCTCGTTACACAAGGGTCACAGCTAAATATTCAAGAAAAGACCAAAGTCTCAGACGTTTATTTCCAATATGCGTTTATCTGATGACATTCATGCACAAGGACATGTACTAAAGCACCACCAACCATAATTAGGGCGAATCTGAATCCTTACCCTCGATCATTGGAGTCTGGCACGACCAAGGGCCGCAACTCTAATCAAACTTACTCGATCAATAAAATAAAGCTTATCTATTCATGATCTGCTTCGGGACATAATGTGAGTTCGTACGCTCTCGAGTGTGACGGGGTTGCACATCTGATAACTTATCATCTGTACGCGAGAATAAATGCACACAGACACATATTCATTTCGTGGAACTATTCATCTTATAAATATTTAAATGTAGATACACTGCCCATGCATTTTTTAAGTTGTGCTGGTACCAATAGATGTGCGTTTTTGGGCGTTGTGAAATATGAAATCAATTTAAGAACGTGTTGAAAAAAGGGATCATTTTTATTTCATGTAATGCTGTTTAGACATCGATTTGTATTAAAAAATTTTAAGATGCTTCGCTAAAACATCAAAGGCGCCGACTGTACTGTATCCTGCGATAAAGTACATTTTTTTGTGTGACGTAATAATGGGCTGACGTCACGACGCTGTTCAAAGTACCACCTCCGTGATCTAATGTATCCATGGTAGCATCGATCTTTCATAAAGTCATTAAAGATAGTGCATCCAAATCGGTTATCGGCGAAATAGTTTTTAAAACTCGTAGAATATTTGAATGATTTGGTTTGCTTTATTTGTTGTTTAACGCCGCACTCAGCAATATTCCAGCCCTGTAAATAATTGACTCTGGACCAGACAATTCAGTGACTGACAAAAATAGCATCGATCCACGCAATTGGGATCGATGACATGTATCAACCAAGTCAGGGAGCCTGACCACCCGATCCCAGTAGTCGCCTTTAAGACAAGTATAGTCGCCTTTTACGACAAGTATAGTCACCTTTTAAGGCAAGCATGGGTTGCTGAAGACCTATTCTACCACGGATCTTCACGGGTCATGTGGCCTATTAAAATAATAAACTCCCCATTTTAGTTGTGTTATATTATGTTGATAATGTAAATATATGTCCTAACGCAAGAGTACGTTCAGTTCAGATTTGATTTTAAACCCTTCTCCAATAAATTGATTAGTTTTAAATTCGGCATCTTAGACTTCCACTGCAAGTAATTATCAAGTAATAGGTCCAATAAATGTTGAAGTAAAAGTGAGTATGTGAGTTGGTTTTAACGCCACGTTTAACGGTATTCCAGTTATATCACGGCGTGTCAGCTAAATATGGGAGGCAAGCCCGAAGCCCGTTTACCACTTCGGTGAAACCCACGAGCACGGGTATGGTGCTGACAAACCTAGAAACATAATAGGGGCGAACCGGGATTCGAACCCACAATCATAGGTTTCTGGCGTGCCCAAGGGACGTGACTCTGCACAGCGAATCGCGGCGCCTTAGACGACTGGGCCACCCGTGCCCCGCCACTGCAAGAGCATCACGGATCTTAAAAGATGCAACATTTGTCACGAAATCTACTGAACTGAACTATTATTATACTTCACAGCACTCGGAAGCGGGTATAGAGCGTCCAAGTGCTTTGACGTACATTAGTTCAAAGCAAAACTATACTTTATTACACTACACATGGGGTTAGAGCGAACGTTACATCTTAATCATAGGCAAAATATTTTGTTTATTAATTTTCGGGAATAAATTATTTTTTTTATGAAAGCCTGTTCAATAGTGACTCCGATACGACCAGTTCTTGTCTTACCTCCTTAATGCCGAGTGCAAGGCATGATAACAACAAGTACCATATTTTAACTTCTTTCGGTATGACGCAACCTAGAATCGAAGCAACGACCTTCCACTCTACCCATGATGGACGAAAGAGCGGCGTGACGCAGGTGCTTTACATCACACATTACCCACGATCATAAGCGGGGAGAGTTCAAACCCACAATCAGCGGATCCTGTACCGCACAGCCACCGAACGCTAGCGAATATCAGTGGTTATATGATACTAAACTGTCCGGTGAAGTCTTCAGCAACCCATGCTTGTCTCAACAGGCAACTTTGCTTGTCGTAAATGCGACAAACGGGATCGGGGGTCAGGCTCGCTGGCGTCGTTGACGCATGTTATCGCATCCAGTGGCTCAGATCGATACTCGTAATGCTCATCACGAGATTGTCTGGTCCAGTCTCCATTATTTACAGACCGCTGTCATTTAGCTGGAATGTGCGGCGATAAACACCAAAACAAACAGACACTGATACTAAGTTTAATTTTCAAATTTAATACATGTCAGTTGGGATGGTATTAAGTTGTTGAAAGGGAAACAAGATTCATTAGGTTTCACAGTTGGGGGCAGGGTTGGCCTATACGTCGGAGGCGCTGTCACGGGTCGACATTCCTTTTGTGAACGAAACTCACTTGCAAAGGTGAGCGAGTGAGTATGGTTTTACGCCGCATTTAGCAATAATCCAGCAATATCACGGCGGGGAACACCAGAAATGGGCTTCACACAATGTGCCCATGTCGGGAATCGAACCCGGGTCTTCGGCGCGACGAGCGAACGCTTAAACCACTAGGCTACCCGACCGTCCCCAAACAAGTAGTACCATCTCACAAACTTCACTAAAAACTTAAAATATTTACGGTTTAACCAAGCTGTTCTTAACTTCAAAGAGATTGCCAGTGTCTACGTTGGTTCGTTGGTTTGTTGTGTAACGCCGCACTCAGCAATATCCAGCTATATGACGGCGGTCTGTAAATAATCGAGTCTGGACAAGACAATCCAGTGATTGACATCATGAGCATCGATCCACGCAGCTTGGATCGATGACATGCATCAACCAAGTCAGCGAGCCTGACCACCCGATCCCATTAGTCGCCTTTTACGACAAGCATAGTCACCTTTTACGGCAAGCATGGGTTGCTGAAGACCTATTCTACTCCGGAATCTTCACGGGTCGCCAGTGTCTAGGTCGTATCATTGTGAGTAAAGGGGTGTGTGGCAGTAAAAAAATGTTACACCGTCTGACAACTGGGTGTCTGACAAAAGGGAGGACCTCCATCACTTCGGGCTTTCCTCCCACATGAAGCTGACACGCCGTGATATAACAGGAACACGTTAACGGCGTTAAGCCCAACTCAATCACTCACTGACTCACTCACTCACTGACTCACTCTTTGAACAATCACGGCCAACTAATACGTCAACTTATTTCTTATAAAACTTTCAAAACCAATTTGTAGCAGGTGTGCCTCATATTTCCTTAAAAGAACTCCGGGTATCCTTCCAAGGGTCGGAGCCTTTCATACCCTGTTCCAGTGAGTGAGTGAGTATAGTTTTACGCCGCTTTTCGCAATATTCCAGCAATATCACGGCGGGGACCACTAGAAATAGGATTCACACATTGTACCAATGTGGCGAATCGAACCCGGGTCTTCGGCGTGACGAGCGAACGCTTTAACCGCTACCCCACCGCCCCTCTTGTGAGCGACTGAGTTTCCACAATACACGTTCATGCTCGCGTGCACAGAAGGATGAATATTCACGGGAAATGGTCACTCAATTACAAGTGTTAGTTCTTGGACGGAACTACGAGTGTACCACAAGACTATTCGACATGGAGGTTACGCATTCGCAAAGACGTCTTACCTTCCTCGACTGCCGACACCAACTGCACTGCCACGTGATGTCGACGTGTCTCTATTAAAAACTCGTCCGTGTCACACGTGCAAAACATGAAAGAGGACGTCATGTTATATGTGATGTTACGTGGACTGAAATTTGATCCAGAGATTATTGGTCGTTGTTGAATTTTATACTCGTGTACATTCGATATTGCGAGGGCGTTACTCGATATGCGAAACGTCCTCGGAATATATCGCGATGACGTCTGGTCGTGATCATTAGTCACCACTCGCCCCTTTCCGTAACCTGCAAGAAGACTCGTCCCCCTATCGATGAATGTTATGTGCGAAAATACGACAAACCAATCAGAATGCGAGTATGATTTCAAGTTCTTCGTCAAAGAATCCCTCAGAAATAATTTTTGATTTTACATATGTCTTGCCTCTAAAACATACCAAAGACACAATTAAATGTGTTTAATCATACTCTATAATTCTGCACGTCCTGGTGTGCTTTAAATTGCATCTGACATATGTATATAATATATGGGGAAAATGTGTGAACCATAACACAACGAGTTGACAATTGTTTTAGGTATGCCCGTTTGCGCCAAGACGGAACCCGGTCGCAAAAATGGCCACGAGAGGGGCACGAGTCGCTATTCGGCTTGTCCCGGAACAACACGAGTTGGTCACGAATGCGGACGTGATGTCATTTAAGAAGACTAAATGTCGAGCCATGTAACTCTGTATTTGGCTCACAGCCAACAATCATACGAAAGCAGGCCGACATCGTGACTCGTGAAAACCGTGCCTTCCGCAGGTGAATCACGGGTCAGACCACCACAGTATTAGGGCCATGTTAACAATGCTCATATCAAATACACTGAAAGGCAAAAGAAACGTCATGTGGATGTATCATATAAATATCTTTATTTTCAAATGCTTATATATGTAAGTAAAGACATGGGAGAAAGTCAGTGTTTGACCCACATGAAATTAACAGTCGGGGGAATGTTTTTGCGAATTGTGAATTTGGGGAGGCACCAGAAGACATCACAGCTGGGGGGTTCAAAATCAGTATCTGGTGTGGCCACCACGGGCGTTGACTACAGTCACACATCTCCTGTACATGGAGTGGACTAGCCTGTTGATGAAGGCCATTTGGATATGGGCCGATATCCTCAGGAACGCTACACGCAGTTCTACTGCAGTTGTCGGCCTTGGGCGTACGTCGTTGAGTCGGCGTTGGATCTCATCCCACAAGTGTTCAATGGGATTCAAATCCGGACTGAGGGCAGGCCAAGGCATGATTTGGATGTTGTGCTGCTTGAGGAAGTCCCTGGTGACTATGGCAGTGTGGGGACGGGCGTTGTCTTGCTGAAAGGTGTGGTTTTGATGACGGGCAAAAAAAGGCACGATATGGGGTCTGAGGACTTGGTCAATGTAGCGGAGAGCTGTGATGCCATTACCCCTGCCTGGATCAATATTCTGACAGACCACAGGTCCCACTCTCTGGTTTAGTCTGATTCCACCCCAAACCATGATGCTTTGGCCGCCCCACGGGCCTCGTTCCATAACACAAGCATCAGCATAACGTTCGCCCCTCCTTCGCCAGATCCTGACTCTGCCATCCACCGTTGAAACACAGTAGCGACTTTCATCAGTGAAGATGATTCTTCTCCATTGCTGTTGACGTCATTTCGATGTTGCCTGGCCCATTGCAGTCGGGCCTGTCGGTGACGATCTCTCAGGATGACATGGGTACACGAGCAGAACGGTGGCACTAGATGTTGTTGGCAGTTAGGCGACGTCGGACTGTACGATCACTGATGGCACGCAGGTGGTTGCCAATGGTTTGCCGAGCTGTTTCAGTGGCCATTCGGAATCGGTTCTGCAGATGTTGGCGCATCATGACCCGATCTTGTCTGGGAGTAGTGACGCGGTCGGTCGTCGGTGGTGTTCCTGGTGTTATGGCCATGTTGCAAACGAAATATCGTTCTGACGTTGACATTGAATGCATTTGCAACGACCTGTGCACTCTGGCCTGCTTGCAGTCTTCCGATCGCTTGTTGTCTTTCATTTCCTGATAAGCTTGGCATGGCTGATGAATCGAAATAACGAAAGCCAGCTTAACAGTTTTGGGTGTCTTTTATAACCATACCATCCACGACATGCACGTGCATCATGTTTCTGACAAGACTTTTCCGCAACTGAGTCCCATTGTACTTTTGTAGGCTGCGTTTGGGCAAAACACTCTATTTTAAACTCAATTGTTAAATGTACTTTAAGGCAACACAAAGAAGCAGTAGAACGATAAATGAGTTTATTGACCACAGAACATGTAACTGCCAGTGTCTGTTAAGTTTTATCAGTATTTTCAGAAGTGACGTTTCTTTTGCCTTTCAGTGTCATCATGATCACGGGACGAAATAGGCTGTTGAAATTGTAAATGGATTATAATACCCTGGTGTGGCACATTTTGTTGTTCAACTACGTATAACGGCCATAAAATGTCCTAGTCTCGTGATGGGATTCGAACCGGGGACCTTCTAATCCGAGGTCGGACGCCTTGCCCACATAACCAAAGAGGTTAACCCGGTAAGCAAGCTGACAAGGTAAGGATGCCATCTGTGGGATGACTCCACGTAATGCGACATCCATACATGCTACAATATTCCAGCTATATGACGGCGGTCTATAAATAATCGCATCTGGACCAGACAATCCAGTGATTGACATCATAAGCGTCGATCTACGCATTTTGGGATACGAAGACATGCATTAACCAAGTCAGCAAGCCTCACCGCCCCCCGATCCCGTTAGGCGCCCCTTACGGTACATTTGTAAACAAGTTGTACTTTAACCGTCGTCAATTTCAGTGTAATTCATAATTATATTATCTGAAATGTGTGCTGTGTACACAGTCTAAGGCCCGGCTCACACAGTGCCGATGTTCTCTCCCGTTTGAGATCAGACAGCGCTACGACACGAAAAGTGAAAAAGTCGGATTACTGTTCTCAATCACCTGGATCATTGTCCTGTCATTGTCTGAACGCAGTCGTATACGTTCGTAACAGGGTTTTACGGATCGTGAAAGGTCGGCGAAGCACTCCCGACAGTATGGTGCGTCCCGTAACATTCACTCAGCCGATTTTGTTTTGTGACAATCGTGACTATGTCGTGACAGATTCTGCTGCATCGGATCAAAATCGTAACAATGTCCTGTGTTGTCTGGACGGTGTCCTGTGGATCGGGATGCTGTCGTGATGAACGGGCATGAATTGTTCATTGCCGTTTCTTGTCGATAAAGTCCAGATTGCGTCCAGATCTTGGCGAATGCGAACCGTCTTTGTTGGCTCCCTGTCCGGTCACTGATCTCTGTCGGATCGCATTAGGGAGAATCGGGACGCTGTCGGGACAGATTCGGTCGTTTTTTACCATGCGGAAGATACAAATCGGTTAAGGTTCGGATTGACAACGGGAGAATGGGGACGAATTCGCCTAGAACGGCTGAATCGGGACGCTTCCTGAACAATATCTGATTGTTTGTGAATTTCCCGCCACGAATCACAGGATCTTGATCAGACTTTTGACAAATTTTAATCAGGAATGGCCCTATCGAGGACTGCAGTAAAAATCCCGAATGTGTGACTGAGCCCTTATGACTTAATTATATATAATATTGAGTGAATGCTGTTTTACGCCGTAAGCTAGATGTAAATAATGAAATCATGTCTCGATCAGTTTGGACCAATTCTCATGTTGTTTCATCATTTCATCATGTTTGATAAGCTGTCGTTCTGGTATCGAACGTATAAAATTCTAATTCCTATATAAATCGAAAGCCATTGTCGTGTGCATTAAGGCATAGGCAATCGACAGATCGATGTTTTCATACGCAATGTGTTTGTGTGAAAATTAGTGTTAATTTTGAAGTATTGTATATAATTCCATACGTCATTTTGATCTTATCGACCAGAATCAAGCATCGTTTCATAAACACTTCTTTTTTTATACATTTGTTTATTGTTTGTTTATTTGTTTTTTAACATCGCACTCAGCGATATTCCAGCTATATGACGGCGGTCTGTAAATAATCGAGTCTGGACCGGACAATCCAGTGTTCGACATCACGAGCATTGATCCAGGCAATTGTGATACGATGACATGCATCAACCAAGTCAGCGAGCCTGACCACCCGATCCCGTTTGTCATTTCATGCTTGCCGTAAAAGGCGACTATGCTTGTCGTAACAGGCGACTAACGGGATCGGGTGGTCAGACTCGCTGACTTGGCTGATGCATGTCATCGATCCGTGATATAAATCACTGGATTGTCTGGTCCAGACTTGATTATTTACAGACCGCCGTCATATAGCTGGAATATTGCTCAGTGCGGCGTTAAACAACAAACAAATCTTACGACGAGCATAGTCGCCTTTTACGGGAAGCATGGGTTGCTGAAGACCTGTTCTCCCCCGGATCTTCACAGGGCTCTTTTTACATAAATAGTGTGAGTGGCTGGCGCTACCTGCAGGCCAGGACATGCTTACCCTTAACGCGAACACTGTGTGTCATCACTCATTTTTAGTGATCCATTCATATTATTTTCACCGGTTTTTTTTGCCTAATACGTCCAATGGAATCTGTTTCGTCGGATAATCGAGACTGGTACATCTCTCGCGTTGCGTTGCGTTAAAATGTCTTAATTGAAGGTATGTCACCATATTGGTCTCAGTGTCTCTAATGTCGGTCAGTAGCACGCCGATCGTGACCTCTTTAGCGAGCATTGACACACGGCACCACAACATCTGACCTCCACCCCGCCGGGGGTTGAGAAGGGTCCAGATTAACTGTGTTGGTGACACGCGTACGTCTGCTGTTTTCACAGGACACACGTGGAGCTTCACTTGACGCGTGCTGTCAGTGCGATGTTTTGTTTGTTTGTTGTCAGTATGTTGTAAATACATTGAATGGCTTGTCTAAATGACATACACTTAGTTTACACACTTTACTATACGTAATTGTCAAGGCTGACTTGCTAGCTGATCTAATATTTTTTATTTGATTACTTCCCTCATCAATATTCCAGCTTTATGACGGCGGTCTGAAAATAATTGAGTCTGTGATTGATATCATGAGCATCGATCCAGGCAATTGATATACGATCACATGCATCAACCAAGTCAGCGAGCCTGACCGCGCGATCCCGTTAGTCGCCTCTTACGGCAAGTATGGGTTGCTGAAGACCTTTACTACCCCGGATCTTCACGGGTCCACTACTGCTACCACACCTACTACTAC